CTATGTATCTTGGGCCGGATTGGCCCCGCGGCGCGGCTTCAGTCGTCGTGGGCGGCGCCCAGGGCCATGTGGGGGGGCCGTGCTCTCTCCATCTCTGCCTCTGACCCGCCCTCCCCCTTTGCTGCTCACCTGTGCTCCCAGTGCGCCGTGTCTGTCCTCTCCTACGTTGTCCTCCCTCTGGACCGCTGGATTGCCTCGAGGGAGCCCTCTCTCCTTGCCGGCCTATGTAACCAACCCTATCGGGCCGTCCGAGGCAGAGATTGGTGCGTCCTCCAGCTGTGGGAAGGCCTTAAGATTCGGTCGGTCACTCTCATAGGAGCAGCTGCCCTCGTGAGAGGTGCCCAATGCACTCCCAGATCTTAGCCGAGTGCGCTGCGACGTGTGCGCGCTGCAGGGATGGAGCTTGTTCTCGAGGTTGCGGGGCAAGGTCGCGCTGCCCCGATATGGTGGCTCCCCCCCTCGTTTGCTGAGTGCGTCGAGCATGCTGCCCGTGGGTTTCTTGGGACGAGTCTCGCGAGAGCCCCTGTGGTGTGTCGGGGTCGTCTCTTGGAGGCTGCTGAAAGGACTAATAACCCTCGAGGTGAGAGACGGCTCGCCGACGTTCCCGCGAGATGCTGAGACGCGCGTGGCCAAACCATCCACCCGCAACGCGTTATATACGCCTCAATGCGGGAAGTGTTTTCGCCCGATCGTTTGGGTGCCGCGTTGTCCGACCGTCCCAGCAGGTATTTCGCAGTCTCGGGGGGAACTTCCAGAGATCCAGCGGGAGACGGTACGATTGGCTCTTAGCCGGTGCTCGCCCTTCCACGCGAACGCCCGTCTGAAGACGTTCTCGGGATGCTGGATCACGTTTCGTATGTTTCACGACCCCTCCCCAGGTCCGTGTCTTCGCGGATGCGCTCCCGCCGCGGAGGTGGACGGTCGTCCCTGCAATGACTCGTTTCTGCGGTGCTTGCGCTGTGCAGTTTTCAGGAAGCTGATTTCCTTGACCCTGGCTGTCCCTCTCCCTTCGTGTCCTCTGGAGTCCTGGGGCCTGCGTGATCCGTCCCACCGCTCCTTCAAGCCAATGGTCGTCGGATACTGCCGTAACAGTGCCATTCGTTCCGCGGCCCATGATCACAATATGTGGCAGTTGGCACGGTCCCCGTCGGCCGTGGACCCATGAACTCGCGCGCCCCCTGGCTGCGTTGCAGGAGGAGGAAAAGGAGGAGGAGGGGGAGGAGGAGGAGGAGGAGGAGGAGGAGGAGGAGGAGGAGGACGAAGACGAACGCGAAGACGACGACGACGAGGCAGCGTGCATCACAGCGCCTGCGTGCACCACACCGCCTGCGTGCACCACAATGTTTCAGTTCCGTCGTCGTGGTCGTCGTCGTCGTCGTCATCGTCGTCGTCGTCGTCGTCATCGTCGTCGCCTTGGGCCTGGGGGGCTCGTCGGAGCCGACAATCGAATCTGACAAGGGCGTTCGCAGTCTATTTTTTTACGGCCCTGTCGATTCGTGGCGGCGAGAACGACCGCGACGATCCCGAAGACGAGGACGAGGATGACGACGACGACGACGACGACGATGGAGACGACGACGATGACGACGGCGGCGGCGGCGGCGACGACCACGACGACGACGAAGAGGACGAACGACGGTGAACGAAGAGGACGACAACTGCGGTGGCGGCGGCGGCCTTGGCGGCGACCAGCGAAGGGTGGCGGCGGCGGTGGCGACGATCCCCCATAGACAGCGGCGGCCCCCCAGCCTGGCCGAAGTCCGTTCGACATCGGTTCCTGGACACCTGCGGAGGTCCAGACCGACCAGTTTTTCTACCCGCGCTCAGCCGCGGCGAGGGGGAAGGCCCACGAAGGCCAGAAAACTGCCGATGTGTCAGACGGCCTTTTCACCGACCAGCGCACGTGGAGGGAAGTGCAATACCCGCCGCCCCCCGAGTAGTTGGCAGGGCGGCTTGGCAGTGAGTAATCTTCCTCCTCCTCGCCATCAGCATCGTCACTATCCACGAAATATTGTCCCCACGTCCGCCTGACCTACGCGCGCCGCAATAGGTTGCAAACGCCACAGTACGGATGTGAGCACCGAAACATGCCTTTGCAACGCAGCGCCAGAGCTGTGAGCTTGGCGCCGCAACAGGCGGGGGGCCTGCGAATGCCACAGCACATTTGCGAGAACCAAAGCATGCCATTCAGCACCGCGCCGTGCCTGTGAGCACGGCGCCATGCCTGCGGGGGGCGCACCCCCCAGCACGCCGATCGGGAGGAGTGCAGGGCCCCGTGGGGGGGCTTGGAAACGAGCGTCGTCTGCCAGAGGGAGGAAAAATCAATCATCATTCGGTGGCGTGCGAAGACGGGTGCGGCTGGATCTCGGGGCCGCGACTGGCGCGGGCTATCGCCTGCCAGACGGATCTGGGTTGCGGCAAGCGCCGCCCAGCAGCGACGTGCTGCTTTGGTGCCGGCGCCCTGTTCGGCATCTTATAGCAAGGGGGTTGCACCGGGGCGGGGCCTGGGGGCTCTGGGGGGGCCTGCGAGGTCCAGGCGGGCCTGGGGGAAGGGAGCGGGTTTTGGGGGCCCATCTGGGATTCGGGTCAGGGGGGGGGGCTAGGCTGGTTTCGGGGGGACCAGGGGGCCCAGGCCGGTTTCGGAGTGGCCCTGGGCCACTTTCGGGGGGGAGGGGGGGCGGGGAAGGGCATGACGCTCAAAACAGAGTTTAATAGACTTGTAAGAATTTGTCTTATAATTTTGTAATAACACGTTGTTGTGAATTTCGCACGAAATCGAACAAGTAAAACAGTGAGCACACATATCATGTTTGCGCAAACGAAATTTGTTTTTTGAACGCAAGACTGGTTTCGTGTTTTTACCTTGTGTTCCCAAAGGGATTGCGGATGTTTTTGTTTCCCGCCCAGGAATGAGCCAGGGCAAGTCCGAAACCGCTTTGGGGCCCCCAGGCCGCTCCAGAGCTGGCCGAGGCCCCCTGGTCTGCCCCCCTTGGCCCGCCGAAGCTGGCGCGGCGGCTGGGGCGCTCGGCGTTCAGTGCGCCGAGCGCCCTGGCGGCTTAGAGATGCCATGCGCCCCGGCGGCGTGAAACTCTTGTCGTCTTTCGTCGTCTCCCCCCTTCGCTCGCCCGCCTTCCTCCATTCCTCCGTTCACTTGTCCCCCCTCCTTCCCTTGTTCGACATTTGTGCTCGGGCCCAAGCTTCCTGGGTGATTGTTTTTCCTCTGGTGGATTCTGCTCGTTTGCCGGGCCAGCCCCCCATCCAGGATAACGGGCGCGATCGTGCTCGGGAGGGTGGCCTGGACACCCCCCCGCCCGACATGCTGGGTGTCGCCCCCCACCGCCCCCGCAGGTGTGGTGCCGTGGTGCCGTGCTCGCGGGCGCGGCGTGGTTTTGAATTCCTTGGGTGTTCGCAAACGTACTGCGGCGTTCGCGGGTTCCCCGCGTATTGCGGCGCCGAGCTCACGCGAGTGGCGCGGTGCTGAAAAGGCATATTTCGATGCTCGCATGCGCGCCGTGGCGTTTGCAGGCTATTGCGGCTCGCTTAGGTCAGGCGGGCGTGGGGGCAATATTATGTCGATGGTGATGATGCTGGTGGCGAGGAGGGGGGAGAGGATTACTCATTGCTAAGGCGCCCTACGAGCTACCTGGAAGGTGGTGGGAATTGCACTTCCCCCCGCGCGCGCTGGTCGGGGGAATGCTATCTGAGACATCGGCGGTTTTCTGGCCGTCGTGGGCCGTCCCCGCTGCCGCGGCTGAGCGCGGGTCGAAAAACTGGTTGGTCAGGGCGTCAGCAGGGTTCCAGGGACCGATGTCGGACGGATTTCGGCCAGGCGGTTGGCCGCTGTTGTCTGGCAGATCGTCGTCGCTGCCGCCGGCGCCCCTTCGCTGGTCGCCGCCGCGGCCGTCGCCGCCGCGGTCGTCGTCCTCGTCGTTCGCCGTCGTTCGTCGTCGTCGTTCGTCGTCGTCGCCGCTGCCGCCGCCGCAACCATCGCCGCCTTCGTTCTCGTAGTCGGCGTCGTTGCTGCCGCAACGCAGCGACAGGGGTGCCATTCCAAAACCAATCGATTTCGAACGCCGTTTTAGATTCGGAATTTTTGGTTTGGAGAGCCCCCTGGGCCCAACGCGACCCCGACGACGAGGACGGAGGTGAGGCATTGTAGAACACGCATGGTGGTGCACGTTGTCGTCGTCGTCGTCGTCGTCCTCCACGTCGTCGTCGTCGTCGTCGCTGTCGTCGCCGTCAGCGTCTTCATCGTCTTCCTCCCCGTTGTCGTCGTCCTCTTGTCTTTGTCGGTCGGTCGTCGTCGTCGTTGTCGTCGTCGTCGTCGATGTTTTCGCGGTGGTGAAGCGCATTGTGGTCGCTCGCAGGCCGCTGCGGTGCTCGCAGGCACCCCGCCGGTGCCTCCAGGTTTTGCCCGCGTGGTCGAATCGCATACCACTGTTGTGGTCGCAAGCGCGTCGTGGTTTTCGCGCGCTTATTTTGGCGATCGCAGTGCAGCCCGCCCCGACGCGAGCCGCCCAACCAAGCGTTGCTGTTACCCGGAGCCCCGAGCCCCCCAGGTGATGACCGTGATTATTGGGAATAGCAAAAAGTTGTATCTAGGCGCGCCCGCCGGTGCCAGTTTTGCGCGGCGGCCTTGCGGACTCAAAGCGAGGACCTTCCACCAGAGGACAGTTGGACTGAGTGCGGCAAGCATTTGTTAAGTTTTTAGTTGTTTTAATTAGAATAATCAGCATGACAAAACATAACCAATGAGTTGAAAAAAACAATGAATGAAATGAGTAACGTGAGTAAGACAAATTAATTCTGGAAGCAGCGAGTCGCACTTGAACTCATGTAATAAAGTTCTGATATGCTGAATGCAACGACGCTGGAATGGTTTTCCGCCCACGATCGACGTCGTAACAGTGTGGATATGCTTGAACCGTCCTTACAGCATCCAGATAGTTTCCGCGCGAAGCGCCAGATGCCACGCCCCCCAAAAAGTTTCCAAGGATGGCCTGTTGGTGATATCCCACTTGGTCTTCCCTGACGTTCCCCAGCGGTTGGCAATCTCGCCTCGCGCGTGGCTTGCGGGGTTGCACGGGCAGTGTGGGGGGTCGCATTTGCCTGCCGAGGTGAATGTAGACCTGCGCCCCCGCAGCTGTCGCGCCATTCAGAGAGTCGGCTCGCCAGCCAGGCCCAGTTTTGCAAACTTCGACCCGGGGCACCCTGCATCCCTGAGGAAATTCGACGGGAGGAGAGCTCGCACGCTCCAGTCCATACAGTCGCGCTGGCGTTAGACAGTGACGACGGCCATTGCGAGGGCGAAAACTGATTGATGAAGCGGATGGCGATGTCGACACCGACGGCAGCTATGTTCGAGACATTTTGTCAAGAATTATGACACGTGAAAAGGAAAACCCCAATGACGGACAGGCCGTGCACGGCACTTTTCTGGAGCTACCGGTGACAGTATTCGGAGAGGAAGTTGTAGCGTTTGATGAGGCGTCCTTGGAAGCAACGCCCTTATAGGAACAAAGTAGAACCAGCTGAAGCTTTAGGTTTCTTCAGCTGCCGCAGTGAAAATAGCAGCGATTTACTCAAATGCCTTACCAGGTTGGTGGATCCGTCACATTGGTCTGTCTGGGCATCTCTTACGATGCCAGGGACAACCCCAGATGATCTCAAAACCTCCCCGTGATGAGCCCGGGGCCGCCTCTCTCTCTCTCTCTCTCCTTCTTTCTCCCTGTCGGTCTGCCTGTCTGTCGGTCTGTCTGTCTGACTGCCTGCCTGCCTGCCTGCCTGCCTGCCTGTCCGTCCGTCTATCTGTCTGTCTGTCTGTCTGTCTGTCTGTCTGTCCGTCTGTCCGTCTGTCTGTCTGTCCGTCTGTCTGTCTGTCTGTCTGTCTGTCTCTCTCTCTCTCTGTCTCTTTTTTTTCCCAACCATCCTGTGGTGTTGGGTCCTCATTTTGAAGAGACGTCGCCCCGCGTTCCCACTCCTCCTCCCCCCTCCTCCCCCTCCTCCGTCCTCCCCCTGCTTGCCTTTGCTCTCCGCGTGTAGACCACCTCGGCACACCCCTCACACGTTCCGCGGCCCGAACTCCACCGAAGGCCTCAGTGCCACCGCCCGCATGCGTCAGCCACACCCATTTCGGCACACCCCTCACACGTTTCGTGGCCCCATAGGGAGCTCCAGCGAAGGCCCCAGTGGCTGCGTTCGCATGCGCCCGCCGCACCCATTTCGGCACACCCGTCACACGGTTTATGGCCCCATAGGGAGCTCCACCGAAGGCCCGAGTGGCTGCGTTCGCATGCGCCCGCCGCACCCATGTCGGCACACCCCTCACACGGTTCGTGGTCCCATAGGGAGGTCCACCGTCGGCCCCAGTGGTTGCGTTCGCATGCGCCCGCCGCGCCCATGTCGGCACACTCCCACACGGTTTGTGTCCCCATGGGGAGCTCCACCGAAGGCCCCAATGGCTGCGTTCGCATGCGCCCGCCGCACCAAGTTCGGCACACCCCTCACGAGTTTCGTGGCCCCATAGGGAGCTCCACCGAAGGCCCCAGTTGCTGCGTTCGCATGCGCCCGCCGCACCCATTTCGGCACACCCCTCACACGGTTCGTGGCCCCATAGGGAACTCCACCGAAGGCCCCAGTGGCTGCGTTCGCATGCGCCCGCAGCACCCATTTCGGCACACCGCTCACACGGTTCGTGGTCCCATAGGGAGGTCCACCGAAGGCCCCAGTGGCTGCGCTCGCATGCGCCCGCCGCACCCATGTCGGCACACCCTTCAGGGGTCAGCTCGCGTGTTCTGAGGGTCGCACGTTGGCTGGTGGGGAGGAAAGCGCGGGAGTGGGTGGAAATTCGTTGAGAGTCTTCGAGTGCGTACAAGGACAAGACCATCGCGCATTTTTTGACATTGCTTTCCGGGGCTCGTTGGGGTGTTCGCCTTGCGCATGCGCTATCGGCCGGTCGCACGTGGGTCGGGGCCATCGCGAAATGTTTGAAATTGTTTTCTGCGCTCGTTGGAGCGTTCGCTTTGCGCGCGCGTGTTCTGAGGGTCGCACGTTGACCGGTGGGGAGGAAAGCGCAGGAGTGGGTGGAAATTCGTCGAGAGTTTTCGAGCGCGTACACGGACAAGACCATCGCGAAATTGTGAAATTGTTGTCGGGGGTTCGTCGGTGTGTTCGCCTTGCAGATACGCTACCGGGCGGTCGCCACTAGGTCGGTGGCTTAGAGGGACAGGACCATCGCGACATTTGTTTGGGATTGCTTTGCGTTCGTTGGAGCGTTCGCTTTGCGCGCGCGTGTTCTGAGGGTCGCACGTTGGCCGGTGGGGAGGAAAGCGCGGGAGTGGGTGAAAGTTCGTTGAGATTGCTCGAGGGCGTAGACGGACAGGACCATCTCGAAATGTTTTAAATGGTTGTTGGGGGATCGTTGGGGTGTTCGCCTTGCGCGGACGCTGTCGGACGGTCGCACGTATGTCGGTGGCGTAGAAGGACAGGACCATCGCGATGTTTTTTGGGAATTGTGTGTTTGCGCTCGTTGGAGCGTTTTCTTTGCGCGCGCGTGTTCGGTGGGTCGCACGTTGGCCTGTGGGGAGGTATAAATGATAGTGAATGGAAATTCTCGGGGAGTTCTTCAAGTGCGTAGAGGGACAAAACCATCGTGAAATGTTTGAAACAGTCTTTGGGGACTCGTTGGGGTGTTCGCTTTGCGCGCGCTTTCTGGCGGTCGCACGTAGGTCGGTCGCGCGGAAGGTTCGAAACGATTTCCATAAACATTCAGCGTTTGCGGGTCCGTGTCAACGTCTCGGTGTTTTGGGGTCTCCGCGTTGTCGAAGACTGTTGGTGCTACTTCCGGTGTTTCTGGACAACACAAAACGCAACAGTAAAGGTAGCTGCGTCCGGCGAGCCAGATCTTCCAAACCAGAAGGACGTTACCATAAATCTTCGCGTGGCGTTTTTTTTTTTTTTTTTTTTTTACCCCGGGCGCGCCGCGAACGCGCGGCTCGATGTAGCACCAAATGTGCGGCCTTCCTACAGCAGCGACGACAAATAGAAGGCGTCACCGTGCAGACAAAGTGTCCGAATCAGTACAACGTCGATACATATGTCGGCGCTGCCTCTTCTCTGCTTTCCAACCGCGCGGCCTACTAGGCCATCTAAGGTGGTCTCGGGCGCTTTGCGGTCCGTTTCTTTCGAGTTCCTGGGGCATACTCAAGCACAATACACGATCGTCGTTACTGTTGTTTGACCCCCCAGGGCCTCCGAGGCTCTGGGGGGGTTGAGGTCTGGCGTTTGGGACAGGTTGCGTTTTATGTTGCAGAGGTCTCTCGCCGCGACGGCACGCGCGCAAAGGGCGTTGGAACGATTTCGACACGCGCGCGCGAAGCTCGTTTTGTATTTCCCAACCATCCTGTGGTGTTGGGTCCTCGTTTTGAAGAGACAGCGCCCCGCGTCTCCTTCCTTCCTTCCTTCCTTCCTCCGCCCCCTCTTCCCTTCTCCGTCCTCCCTCCTCCCCCTCCCCCTCCTTGCCCTTGCCTTCGGCACACCTCTCACCCGTTTCGTAGCCCCATCGGGAACTCCACCGAAGGCCCAGTGGGGGTGCCCCCATGCGGTTCCCCCACCCAGGGCAGCGCTTCGTGTCTTCATAGGGAGCTCCACCGAACGCCCCAGTGGGGGTGCCCGCATGCGGTTCCCCCACCCAGGGCAGCGCTTCGTGGCCCCATAGGGAGCTCCACCGAAGGCCCCAGTGGGGGTGCCCGCATGCGGTTCCTCCACCCATGGCAGCGTTTCGTAGCCCCACAGGGGGCTCCACCGAAGGCTCCAGTGGGGGTGCCCGCATGCGGTTCCCCCATCCAGGGCAGCGCTTCGTGGCCCCATAGGGAGTTCCACCGTGGGGGTGCCCGCATGCGGTTCACCCAACCAGGGCAGCGTTTCGTAGCCCCATAGGGAGCTCCACCGAACGCCCCAGTGGGGGTGCCCGCATGCGGTTCCCCCACCCAGGGCAGCGTTTCGTAGCCCCATAGGGAGCTCCACCGTAGGCCCCAGTGGGGGTGCCCGCATGCGGTTCCCCCACCCAGGGCAGCGTTTCGTGGCCCCATAGGGAGCTCCACCGTAGGCCCCAGTGGGGGTGCCCGCATGCGGTTCCCCCACCCAGGGCAGCGTTTCGTAACCCCATCGGGACTTCCACCGAAGGCCCCAGTGGGGGTGTTCGCATGCGTCTCCCATCCCCAGAGGTAGCGCCACCGAAAACGATGTTCATATTTGCGGTACTCACAACTGCATATGGTTGGGTCCTTCGTGAGTTTTTGTTGTTGTTGTTGTTGTTGTTTTTTTGTTGTTCTCTCTCTCTCTCTCTGTCTCTCCCTTATGTACAGTTGTAGGCCTGGCGTGGAGGATTGCATGGGGCAGACTCTCGCACTTTCACGGGGACGTCAACGATTCAATTTACCGACCCGGCCCTTGTCGGCCATATCCTCGGCCCAGGATCGGTTTGGCCAGCATCGGTGAAGTGGATGACAGTTGGCATCTTTCGATCGCCCAGTGACCCCAAAAGGGTCGACGGATCTGGTTGCTCACTCTCTCTCGCTGCCCGGCGTCCGTGCGTGGCGAATTGTTGCAGGGTGCAGATCTTGCGGCTTGTCGCGAGGCCCTGCGGGAGGCACGGTGCGAGGTTGTGCTCCCCTGCGGAGCGTTTGCCTTCGTGCACCCGCACTTGGCTGGCTATGTTGCGGAGCGGCTGGTCCCAGCCATGCAGGCGTCGGGCAGGCGTATGATGGGCAGGCATGTGATCTGCAGCCATCAGTTCAGGTCATCAGTCTGTTCGGCGGTGGATCATGTCAGGACGCGGGACCACACGCGGGTGAAACAAGTGGAGAAGCTTGAAATGAAGGAGCCGCTCCCATTGCTGCGGGTGGAAAGGACATTCCTGCATTACAGCCTGTACTCCAGCCGTGTGTCCACGGCATCGACCACCGTCGCGACTATAGGGCTTAATCCGCGGGTGCAGGCATTTAGCCCTGTATAATCCGAGTCAACGCCCAAAGGACAATTGTACAGGCTGAGTGGGAGCGTTGTTCAGTGCTGACTTCGTTTTCATTCGGCAGGTTGCTTGGTGCCGATTTCGCACCAGGGCGGAGATCAGCCGTGACCGCTGGCAGTGCTGCCTTCGGTCTTGCAGTCCTGGTCTCTGCGACGACCATCGTTTTTTCTCAGAACGCTTGATCTTTGCAGTCGCAGTTTTCGTTTAGTGCGGCGGGAGGATCTGGGGCAAACGACGCGTGCATTTTGGGCATGAACGGGGGGAGGAGGGCCAGCGGGGAGGGCAGGATGGTGGAGCGGACAGGGGAAGAATACCCATAGCGAAAGAAGCGATGGAAGCAGAGGAATAGACGAGGACAGTGACTGCGAGATCTGTGGGGGGTAGGGCTTTGGAGAGGACGTGGGATGCGGGATGATGGGCGGGAAAACGTGTTGTGCAGGAGTAACCGTAAGAGGAGGCGAAGTGGCGGAATTATATGATTTTGTTGCTGCTGTTGTTGCTGCTGACGACGACGACGATGCTGATTAGGATGATGATAGTGCTGGTGGTGATGATGCTGATGGTTATGATGATGACGATGATGACAATGATGACGATGACAATGACAATGACGATGACGATGATGATTATGATGATTATGATGATGAGGATGAGCAGGTTGAGGATGATAATGAGGATGATGAGGATGATGAGGATGATGATGATGATGATGATAAAGCTGATGCTCAAGATGACGATGATGCTGACGATGCCGATGTCGGTATCGATGGCGATGCCGATTTCGATAGTGGTGAGGATGACGAGTGTGACGACGACGATGCTGATGCTGATGCAATCAATGCGCCCCTCCGCACCACCAGGTTCCTGCCCGTCTCACCCGTCCTGCTTGCATCTCACTGGCTGCTTCCGTGCCTGCTCTGGACATTCTCTGCTCCTGCAGCTTAACACATTGAGGTTCAGAGTTAGCGGAAAGGAGCGCGCCCGCGTGCGGCCGCGCGTGTCGGCCGGCGGGCCGGCCTCCTCCCTTCAGTGTTACTTTTGTTGCATCGGGACAGATGGTTGGGATTATGAATATCCAGGCAAAAAGACGGGTAACCAGCCGAAACAATGGCACACGTCGCGAAGCATAGGATCTCAAGGAGGAGCGTTCGGAATAACAGAATATCGTGCTTTTGTCTTTAGGGCGGGTTTAGGTTGAGTTGGTTGAGTGTTTTTGTGTTTTGGTGCCGACGACGATTGTAATGATGGTGGTTATCAAATCGTAGTGCTGCTGGTGGTGGCGATGGTGATGGTGATGATGGTGGTGTTCATCACATCCGGAATCACCATCATCACCATCACCACCATCACCATCACAACCGCTCTCACTATACCATGATCACCATCCCCATCATCATCATCATCACCATCCATACCATCAGCGTCGCCATCACCATCACCATCGTCGCCATTGTGGTCCGTAGGACTTGGCTCAAGGTAATGTCGTCGTCCGCTCCTGCGGCTTCCCCGAGCGCCCCTTCGGTTTTCCCGAGCCCTGCGGCCTCCCCGAGCCCTGCGGCCTCGTCCTCTCCTTCGGTTTCCCCGAGCCCTGCTTCGAGAGCGCCCTCGACGGCTTCTTCGACAGCGGCCTCGGCGGTTTCTTCGAGAGCGGCATCCTCGAGCCGTGCGGCCTCGTCGAGAGCGGCCCCGTCGAGCCGCGCGGCCTCGGCGGCCTCGTCGAGTGCAGCTTCGCCAAGCCGTGGCAGCTGCAACGGCTCAGACGCCGATGCTGACGCAGGGTCCGACGCCGACGGCGCCGACGGAGTTGCCGACGCAGCGGGCTCCGAAGAGGACAGCGGCTCCAACAGCGGCTCCGACAGCGGCTCCGAAGAGGACAGCGGCTCCAGCAGCGAGGCAGCCGCGGCTGCAACAGCGAAGGCGAAGGCCGCCCCGAGCAGAGTAGTCGAGAAGTTCCAGCCTTCGTTGTCCATGACCCTGGAGGAGCACGTCGCCAGCCACGACTACCCACAGCACGTCTCCACCTGCGGCGCTTGCAAAATAGGAAGAACAAGGAGAAGTGGAGCGCCTCGATGTCTGCGACGGATCCAGTAACACTGAAGAGCGAAACTTGGATAGGCTGCGTAGGTGGTAGATTTGCAGTCTGCTTGTTCTGCTCGGCGTTCAAGGGCGCTCGTTGCATATCCACACTAGGCCAGGGATCCCGGAGTTTCCAGCGCAAGGAAAACCTCGTGCGCCATGCGCAGTGCGATGAGCACCAGGCAGCAGAAGCGGCGTGGCAAGAGCGGATTCGAGAGGAAGGTGCGCACCAGAGTCTCCCCGTGTCTGCGTTCCCCGCAACGGCTGCATCAGCTGCAGCAGCTGCAACAGCCGCGGCGCCTGCGCCCGTCGTCGTCCGCGCCGCCGACCAGCGCCCTGGTTGCCTCGCAGTGGTCGCCGCCCGTGCAATGTTGGAGACGTCCAGTTCCTTCAGACGTTTCGACGCGTGGCGGGGTGCGTTCGTCGGGGCGACCGCCAAGTTTTGGAGTCTAGTCAGCAGCGCCGAGGGCCGGTGACCACCATGGCTCAGCACGAGAAGATCATCACGCAGAGGATCCTTAAACATGGTGTTGTTTTTCGTTTGGCTGCGGACGGCCTCGACCGCACGTGCCAGGTCGAAATTGGCGCCGCGCTGCGGTCGACCCCGAAGGCTTTGGACTTCCTCCCAAGCTACGGTCTCAAGGCAGGCAGGCTGGAACAGCTGTGCCCCAGAGGGCCCTGGATCGTGGATCGGGTGATCGGGGCGCGGGAGTTCCCGCGGGGCATGGACTGCGATGGCAAGGGTTCCATGCTGGAGGAGTGCGTCCGTCGCGCGTGCCAGACGGCAGGCGGGGAGCTGGACGGGGACTTGCACAAGCATGTGCGACAGGAGACTCGGGCATGGCGCAGCGATGGGGCAGATCTAAGTGTGCCCCTGGCTGCAACAGCTACGTTCCCTGGGCTCGCGTTTCACGCGTGGGACGAGTCTCACTCGCCCCAGAAGGTTCTGGCCAATTCGATGAAAGGAGACAGCGAAATCACGACCACGGACGAGCTGCTGGCAACGGGTAAGAAGCCGCCAAGTCTGGCCAAGTTCCTGACTACCTCCACCGTGTTCCGCAACGCACTCGGGGAGCAGCAGCTGGTGGAAGACGGCGCTGCGTTCGACAAAAACTTCGACTGGGCCCCCCAGCGTTTCAACAGTCGGGCGAGGCCCTTAGCACGGGAAAGTCGGCGTTGGGAAGTCATTTTTCATGCGCTCGGAGTGGGGTCCCAGGGGAAGGACAAAGATCGGCGCATTCTCGCCCGACAGATTCTGGAAGGGCTCGGGGGCGAGAACAGTTTGCGCCTGCTCCTGGGTGGGTGTGTTGATGGCCGACTTGAGCGCGGAGCACTACTCCTGGGTCGCCACCGGAGACAAGAGCAACCCCGACGCTGCCAGCGTTCAATCCAGGGCCGCCGCTTTCCTCTCCAAGTTGGATACATTGTTCGTCCAGGGGGATATTCTGGGCATCCCCAACGCGTTTACTGGCGTCACCCTCAAGTTTCTGAAGGGCACGAAGCGGTTCGCGTGCGGCACTGGCGTCCAGACCGCTGGTATCGGCGATTGGGGAACGGGGCCCCGAGCCCGCGAAGCCGCCCACGCGGCTCTTCGACGAGCGCAGGGGATCGTGGCCAATGTGAAGGAGAACGTGAAGCTATATCGGCCAGAGCATTCTTGGTTGCACGCCTTTACAGCCCTTCGCTTGCCTTCCCCCCCCCCTGCCCCTGTCTGCAACAGAGCATGCAACAGAAGCCGAGGCCTGTCTGAAGCGCATCTGCCAGGCGGCAGACCTCCCCGAGCAGGAGGCAATCCCCCAGCTGCGGCGAATGTTGCCGCGTGCCGAGGTGCATCATCGAGACGGGGGCACCGCGCGGCAGGCTTGGGGCCGCGCTGCGGTGGAGTGGCCCGAGCTCCCCAGCGGCCGTCGCCTCGTGGAGCTCTTCCTTGTATGGAAAACGAGCACGGGCAACGTGGAGAGGCGATTCCGCCGTTTCCCGGAGGTGCATTGCCCCGAGAGGGCGCGGCTCCTGGACGTGTCCGTCGAAGAGCGCACGCTCGTGGACCAGGCGCCCTCCAGCAGGTTGCTGCGCGCGTGGCTGGACGACAACGAGAGCTCTGCCGCCAGTCGTTGGTACAGGCATGTGCTCAAGCTACATGAGGTCGCGCAGGGGAAGATCGCGCCGCTGAGGAGGAGGGCCGAGAGGCGCGACAAGGGAAGCACGCGGGAGCCTGGGGCAGCACGTCGGACAGAGGTCGGCTTCGGGCGCAGGCGAGCAGCTGCCGTCGACGCCGTGGCGGCCGCTTCCCCGAGCAAGCGCGCCCGCCTTCTCGCGGAGGGCGCCCCCGATCTCGCTGCGCTGGCTCAGGAGGCGGCCCGGGCGAGCGGCGCAGATCCAGTCGGGCCCGCTGCAAAAGTCGTCGCCGCCGTCGCCAAGCGGGAGGCCAAGATCCGAGAGCGCAATCTTGGAGGGGCGAAGGCCGCCGCCAAGGCCAGGAGTACGCGAGAGAAGAAAGTCCTGCGCAGTGCCAGGCCAGCTGCGGGCCGCGACGCTTACTTGCTGCCCCCCCCGCGCCCCGCTGGGCTCATGCTGGCTCGCGTGGTAGATCTGGGCGCTCGCAACAAGGCGCAGCGCTTGCGTTTCAAGGCGTTTCACGACCCGGTGGACTTCCTGGACTACCTTGCCCGTCATACGGCCAAGGGGAAGGGGAACGTAGTCTTGGCTGCAACAGCTGACACCGACTATTGCATCGCCGCCCAGATTGTAGCAGCGTTCACGGGAGTTTTTTTCTTTTCCACAACGCCGACTGACTTGCACGGGAGGATTCTCCCAAAGGCATCCAGTACACGGAGAAGCTTCGGAACTCGAGCAAGAGCTACCACGTGGTTGTAACAGAGGCTCTCGCGGAAGACCTGCCTACACTGCCCCACGTTTTGCGAGCGCTTGCCCAGACGCCGAGTGGGTGTGTGATCTATTACAAGAGCCCCAGGAAGCTCTGCAAGTTCTTCAAGAAGCAGGCCAATCCCCGCCTGGCGCAGCGAACTTGCGTGCTGTGCCGCTCGGGAGAAGAAGCGGGTGTCGACAAAGCCGTCAAACAGCTCTACAACAGCCCGAGGAACTGGGTTCTGCGTTTCGACGCGACGGTTGAAGCACTGTGCCCGGGCACCAAGGCTGTAACAGCGTGAGTAAGTAGCCCGTCCCATA